ATAGCACGACGAAACAGAAACAGAAAGCGAAATCTTTTGTGGGTTTGTTCTTTGATCATCAGTCTGGGCTGGTTCAGTGAAAACCACCAAATCTGATGTCAAGATTTTTTTATGCCATGTCTGATTTTTAAAAACCGTACATTTGGAACCTTAAGGACAAAAAAGTCCGTGTCAACAAACTGATAGATGTATTTGTTTATATGAGCGATGTCCGATATTGGCTTTATAACAGATATGCCGATACTGTCCAAGTCTCAATTTCCGATATCAGCTGATACCGATATGTGTCTGTTACTGTCACTGTCACACTTGTTTACACACTTCACGACGCAGTTTGATGTCGTCATCATTTGCATGCTGGTAAATACGGGTGAAATCCAGCCGTTATTCTATCGGTTTTCATTATAGGCAAATAAACCTAAACGATATTGACAGATCTCACATTTTTATGCCAATTCTCAGTAGTTCACATCACTGTCCACTTTCACTGAGGTAGATTTTGAACCTAAAACACACTCAGGACCTCAGAGACTAGACTGTCTGTAAGTTTACTGGAGAGTGAAGCTGACATTCCTGTTTCTTACCACAGTGGTCCATCTGAGCGAAGCCGTCCTTCTTCTCCACGGCTTCCTCTCCGACTCCTTCATCAGCTTCGATCCCTCTCTTCTCGTTCTTCCTCCTGTCCGGCGTCTCCTCGCCGTCTCCGCCGTCTCTGGTCCGGTCGGGCGGTCGCTCGACGCTCTGCGGTGGCCCTCGCTGCTGAAGCCTGACTTTCTGCTTGAATGCCTCCCCGCCGGTGAAGCTTCCTTGGTGCCGAACGCCGTGACCGGGTCCCTCGTGGGGGAAGTGGTTAGCTTTGGCGTGGCTGGACACCCAGGCCTCGTCGCAGCTGGCGTAGTCGCTCTCCACGTATCCGGGCAGAGCGTCCAGCTGAGAGTCAGCCGAGTGCTGGGCCGTGGAGGGCCGAGGGCGCCCCCACCTGGGGAACTGCTGCGGGCGCCTCCACGTGGCCAAAGGAGGCAGAGCGTCGGGCTTCTTCTCCCGCCTCCTGCCCTCCCGCTCTGCGTACAAACACTCGGTGCTGCTCGGAGACTGCTGCCGGGACGCCGAGCCGGGATGAGCTGCAGCGGCTTCTCCAGAGGCCACCTCAGCCGAGGGCCGCGGCCTCTTCAGGATCTCCGTGCACTTGTCCACGATGTGCCACATCTGCAGGAAGCTGGCCACGGTGACGTAGTTGACGATGTCGTCGTGCACGATGCTCAGCTGGCCAGTGTAGGCAGAGCTCAGGACGCTCTCAAAGGCCACCGGGTCCATGACGGAGGGCAGCGAAACCGTGGTCACGTTCTTCAGCAACACCTGTTAGAAGACGTGAATAAAAGAAGACACACTGAGTTCAGGCATCCGGACAGAATCAGGTTCCTGTAAAACAACAAAAACAGAGTAGAACTAAAGAGCAAACTGGAGGTGGACATTTTTGCTAAATTGATGGATTTGTGTTGAAAATAATAATAACAATAGTAACTTTATTGACACAGAACAACATTTACAAAATGCTTTGACGACAGGCTGAAAGTAAAAGATGTAAAACGCAAGTCACAGAATTTTAATATAAATAAACTAAAGCAGCAAAAGGCAGCTGAATAAAATCATTTTAAAAAACACTAAATTGCTATCGCACGCTGACAGAAAACAAACGTAGACGCCCCGAATAAGAGCAAAATATAAAAGAAGATGAACACAAGACTACGAGTCTCCTCTGAACCACTGCTGATGTCGACAAAACAGGGTCAGAAAAATATGTCCAGAATAAAAACACACGTCTTCTTAGTTAGAACTGAAGAACTGCTTTGAAAGTCTTGGATCAAACTTTGCAGCAATATGTTTTAATTTTGTGGTACATCAGTAATAAAAGTTCAATGAAAACGACTTTCTTTTCACGTTTATGACCAAGTATTTCACATTAACAAGTGTTCAATATGTTTTGTTTTATTGTGACGTTCAGAAAATATCACCAGCTGACTTCTGCAGGTTGTTTTTGGTTATTTGTGCTAAAAGATGAGATTTTTCATGACAGCTTGAGTTTTATTTTTGCATATTTTAACTCACTGATAATCAGATTATTTGATCCACTACGTTGCAGATTCAATGACATGAAGAGAAATAATAATAAATGTCAGGTTCATGGTTCCTGTGAGGATGTCGTTCAAACAGCCTTAAATTTCAATGTGAGAAAAATAAACGATTTTATTTTTGTTAATGATTTTGGAAAGTATTTGATACAAGAATCTGAAATGCCACAGATACAGTTTTAAATATCCAAAGTTTAAGATGAAAAGTTAAAATAAAAGATGGTTGGACAGAATAAACGTGATAATTTGGGGTGGAAAACTCTTTTGCAGTGTTCATACAGGCAAGTTTTTTTTCCTCTAAAATCTATTTTCTGCTTCATTTTCCTCCTGAATAATTCACTGCGGTCACCAAACTACGAGCTGCTCTTTCGGTTCATCTGTACACGCTGGCCTACCTGGTCATGGAAGTAAGGCGAGGAGGCGGCGAGCACGCAGCGGTGGGCCCTGAACACCTGACCCTGCACCTGGATGGACAGGTCGCACAGCCGCCCTTCCTCCCGCTGCCGGTTCAGGTTGTCCAGAACAGCGGCCCGAGCGCCCGGGAAACACACCTGGACGGTCAAACCGGCCGGAGCCACGGAGGCGCTGCAGGTCGGGTCCATGGTCGCACAAAACTGTAGGAAAAAAAAAAAAACACACAACAGCAAAGTTAAAACGTGGTCACTTGTTTCTGATTCCATGTGTCTCAATGTGCAGTTTTTCTAACTGTGTAGAAAGTGTCTGGAGGCTGTTTTCAATTTGCTTTTAATACATGTTGGCATTGCAGCACTGTGGTGTTCCAGTTTTTCTAGATTGCATTTGTTGTGTCCTTTCTTTAACTGCTGTGATGCTTTAATTTACTGGGATGTGTGAATGAAGTCTCTCATCTTTAGTATTTAATTTTTATTGTTGAAAGAAAACACCTGCCATTTGTCTCAGGGGGGACTTCTACATACTCTGTGTTTCCCCAAACTACTGAGGAATGTTGGGACTTGTTTATTCACCTTAACAGGCTGCGTTTAAAATACAAGTTCGGACACTGATCTGACTGAAGGTAACTCAGAGGAAAACAGTGACATTAACATGAAGACAAACTGTCTGAAACATGAGGTCCACACGGCATAACCTCATTATTCTGACTTGACAAAATGATTTCACATTTATTAATTAAAGTGAAAAACATAAAAGGTACAACAATCCAACATTTGCTAACAAGAATAGGATTTCTGATCATAAGAAATAACTACATTTTTATATCAACCAATCTGTTGGTTATTAAAATAAAGTTAATCCAAAAAAAAGAAAGAAAGTTTGGATGATTAATTATTGTACTTTTAAAGCAGAAACATACACTGTTTTAGGCCTTTAGAGCGGGGAATCCTCCTGTTTGTGTCCTATGTGACAGTAAATTAAATAAAACAAGCAACCTGAAGGCTTCATATTTTACACATAAAACATCAGATTGCTCAGTACAGATTACAATAAATAAATAAATACAATAAAATGAAGGCCAAGAATTCAGGTAATTTACTAGAATATAACCAACTGGATGCAGACTGGATGTTTCTAGCCTAAACCTTAAAGTTAGACAGAATAATTTGCATTATATATACTATTGTAGGGTCTTAACTTCATTATTTTAATCAACTAAATCTACATAATTATTAAAACTGAAGGGTTTTAAGCCTAGTATTTAATTTATTCAGGTGGATTTGTAGTTTATAAACCATTTCAGGTCTTAACCTTACTATTTAAACGCGTTAAACTCTTATTTCTCTGCTGTGAAGCCCTTTAGCTCAGCAGCTGCTGTTGAAATGTGCTGCTTTATAAATAGCAGCAGTTGATACGAACAGATTCCACCTGATGCTCTCTGCCTTTAGCTAGCAGTTAGCTAACGCTAGCTTCCAAAGCTAAGTCAAGTTTAGCATCGCCCGTCACATTAACAGTCATTGTTCAACACAGTATGAACATTAAACGTCGTTACAGAAGCAGAAAACGTCTTTCGGTCGTTTCACTTCACTGCTGCTCCGCATTTACTCCGGCTAACGTTGAGCTAGCTTGTAGCTAACCGGGTTAGCTAGCTAGTTAGCTTCCCGTTTAGCTCAGGTACTTCACCTGTGTCGTGTCAGTGTGTCGAGCCGTTTGCCGTCACAGAGGACCTCTCCGGCTATTTGCAGCTCGACATCGCTGTTCGTGAGCCGCGGCTACGAAGCGTCGTCGCCTTTTTGTATTAAAAACAGTGAAGCTAGTAAAGCTAACAGCAGCCTGCCCGCAGGCACGACGCTGAAGTTAGCTTCAGGTTCGTAGCTTCCGTCTCAGCAGCTGAGGGGAAAGTTAAGGGAAGTTCACCTACAGCCAGACTGAATTTAGGGTTCATTAATAATATAAATATATATTACGAGAATAATTCATATTAAATAGAAGGGAAACAAATCCTCTTTTTTTTCTTTTTACATTTTAATGATGCTGTAAAACTGTGTACATGGTTTAGATCTGGACCTGGTCCTCTAATGTGGTCCAGATGTATAAAAAGCAGTAAAAATAAATAAAAATCTATGTTTTACAATCAGAAAGTGTGTTTTATAGAGTTTTTAGTCTCTGTCTGGAGTTGATCAGCCAATGTTCAGAAGGTTTAGATTAGATCTGGTTTAATGTGGTCCAGATAAGCAGCATCACATCCTGGTTTTTGAATTCTCACAGAGACTCTCATATTGAATAAAGCTTTCACAGGACTTTGACGCCTCTGTAGGGTAACTAATCCCAATCTGACCAGTCTAAGTGTAGTGGTTTTAGATCTGGATGTGGTCCACATGCAGACAAAAACAACTTAAATCTGTATTATTTGAATATTTATAAATACCGTCATATTTCTCTCGGTACAGTTCAGACATATTCTGTCAGTAATGGATATTATATATATATATACATTCTTTTAGAAACTCTGTCCAGTATCTATTGTTCTGCACACACCAGAGCAGGTGCTACAGCAGTGCTTCTCTACTTACATACAATCTGTGCAATATTAATATTATTACTTTTCTCAGTATTTCTCTTCATGAAAGAATCTGTGCCATACTGTCATGTCTGTCACGACTACTTTTTATCTTTATTTTGTATTTTTTGTGCTTCATTTTCTCTTTTTTTTGCTGCTGTAACACTATACATTTACCCACAGATTAATAAAGGCTTTATTAACAAAGATTTCAATAGAATAGAATAGAATAGAATAGAATAGAATAGAATAGAATA